CCTTCAAATTAAGAAACAACAATCAACCATATACTTTGACATTAAAATACCAAAAGCAAAATCGCATTATTATTTATATAGATTTGTATTTCCCTTTTGTTGATGTTCAAGATTATATTAGATAAGTATTTACTGGCATATTTCATTGAATCAATCTTAAAAAGTCAAATGTTGCTTAGATTACTCAACAGCAATACTTCATAAAAATAATTTATATAAGGAAAACAGTCCTTTTATTAGTCAAGTATATATTCACTAACTTGAATCCCCCTAAGATGAAGTAGGTCTCGAGTCCACGATCCTCTGATACTTTTAAATATTGAGAATATATATACTGAATGACCAGGTTTAAAATAGATGATACTTAAAAGTAAGATTGAGATTAATGAACATTGGATAAGCAGACCAAAAAATAAAACCAAAAGTTGATTCCACAAATATCTGTGAGAAAGAAAAAACAGATCTCTAGAATCTTGTAATGATGTAGTGGCTTTTTACAGTCCTGTACAAACTCATTTTGTCAAACTTGATCACTCTAAAAAATGTAATCAATCATGATAAATTAGGCAAGTTGTACCTCAAGTTAATTTATATTTGGTTAGCGACTATTTATTTTAAAATGAATAGATTATAAATTGATGTAAGATGTAAAATTCACTAATGAAAAGCTACAACATCAAACAGAAATAATATAGGCCATAAGTAATATATTCTGTTATATCATTAATGTATGTATTTACTAATTCAATGAGATTAAGAATTTGCCCATTAGAACTGAAGTGATTACTTCAAAAGATTGTTTAATTTTTGTGGAGCCAAACAAGAATCATGAATAGTAATATGATAGTATATTTATGATCCTAATCAGTAAAAATTAGAATTTTTTGACATTTCATGACAGTGTAAGTTATTTCTTCAGAGTAAATAGGTAAATAACTGAATCAGATCTACACAATTTTAAGTAGTAGAATGGAACAATGCACGGTATTTAATTCAATCAAGATCAAAATTCAAATTGTTTTGATAATACTAAGTCACTAAATGTCGGAAATTTTAATACCTATTGATTCAGATATTATAAATAAATCATTGTTTTCTTATTAACATTCTAGCGAATGCTCAATTTATTTGAAATGATCAAGTCAAACCTTGTTAGCAATTCACTTGGTATTGTTTATTTGAGCCTTTCCATTGATGTTTAGGACTGCAATTGATCAGTCTCTTATTGGCATATGTGCATACTGTGCATATTGCCTCGATATTACCTTAATTCATAAGTATTATAAGCAAAAATGGATGGTGGATCGAGGCAATATGCACAGTATACACACATTTAAATAAGAGACTGATCAGTTTCAGTCCTAGACATCAATGGGAGTGTTGGGGTATTCAGAAAATACCCCAGAAATTATCTAATGCTATTCCTGAATGAGAAGTAGTGTCATTTCCCCATTGGTCGACATTCTTCCAACGTGTCATCTCCTTATTGGTCAATATTTATTTGTGTCATTTCCTGAAGGTTAAATCTTGTACAAATGTTACTTCCTATTTATGGTACGATGTAGTCTGTTTGATTGCTATATAAACAGTGTATGTTTGAAATATAACGATTCATATCTCCGAGGCTGAGACTTGTGTTCTGGACTCAATTGGCTGGGCTAGACAGGGAGGCAGGACCAATCAGAGCTCTAGGCTGCTCGCACGTATTTTATGCGTCACTGTTTCGATCGATAATAGGCTGCTCTCTAATAGGCGGATCACACGTTATAACAGAGAGGATTCAAATAAACAATATCAAGTGAATTTAAACTCTACCCCATTGCACAACCAAATGGTTATCAGGACTCAGTAGCTAAGTGAAGAACACGATTGCGTTTTAAGCTGAACGGTACTAGGTTCAAGTTCTAGAGTGAACATCAACTCTGAGATGTAGATACATTCATCTGGCGAGTCCTAAATAGAACGAAACGCACATTCTGGATTCCCTTGCTAGCCACTATACATCTTTGCTTGGTAAAAATGTTTAGTAAAAGAATTATGAATGTTTGCTATTTAATGAATTTAGATCAAATGAAATACAGAAAATACTGTCAAATTCCCTATTGAGTGTCCTTAAAATTCATTATTATTATTATTATTATTATTATTATTATTATTATTATTATTATTACTATTATTATTATTATCATTATCATTATCATTATTATTATTATTATTATCATTATTATTATTATAAATACCAATTACAAACAGTTGCCCAATTACGGAAAAAAAGACCTGTTAAATATTCAATATGAGTAATCGATTCGAACGACTGCTGTGAAATAAAAATTTACATGAACCAATCATGAATTTATTCAATCAGTATCAAATTCAAATCGAATTAATTCTCATTTTTTTAAAATGAATAATTATAAATCATTATTATTCATGACTAAGCATCTCAGATTCATTTCATTTGTAATAAAGAGGAAAGAAATCTGTTTAATGATAAACAGAATGATTCGATTTAAAAGTAAATGTGGGTTTGTAAATGAATATCGTCCATATTTCAAGTAAAAACATATGGATATGACTAAAAAGCAATAAAATAAGGAATCTAGTTGTCGATTTATCCGTTTATCAGTTCGCCATGTCTACCACGCTTTATTATTATCACTGTCATTAGATTAGCTGATGTACTGGTGGCAGTGGCCCAAATGTAAGAACACACACACCCATATAAACAGACACTAGTATCTGGAAATGAGTCATGAAAAATCAACATGCTATTTTTTAATCAGTTGCATTAGTAGACAAACTCATTGTTAGTGAATAACACATACAAACAAAAACAGTTTCATGATTCATAGTTAGCAAATAATATTGTTGTTTACATTAAAGTTTAATTTATTATAAAAATTAAAGTTAGAATGTTTTTCAAAAACAGGTTTTAGGAAAAATGGATAGATGCTATGATTAATTCAAATTATAACTTACTAGAATGATAAGCCAAAAGAGTTAGAGAGAGAGGGGGGTTAAGCATGAGATAAATGAACTGAATATTAGGTTTCATGGTGGGGGTGGAGGGTAGGTAAATGGTTGCATGTTAATAATCCGACATTTTATAACCCGATTAAAATCTGTTCATATCATTTCATTTAGCCTGAGAAAGTATTTATAGATAGTTGAATACTTACGGACAATAGTTTCTTCTAAAATAATTTTTGTCTTCAGAAACTGACGTCAACTTAACAAACCAATAAGAGCCAGGCAGTTCTGGATATTTGGTACAATCAAGTTTGAGATTTATCAACAGTACACATTCGATACTTCAGGAACTTGATATTTAACAATGAATATATGATGTAATTAAATCGTTAGTGTCGGGAATTCGATTGTTTGAATGCTAAGACTTTAGTCAATTTATGATGAACAATGTTTCACTTAGATAATATCGTTTTGTGACGAAAAGCACTTTCAAGAAACAGTAACAATTCCACAAAAAGTTGAAATTACAGAATGGAAATTTTTAATGTTATTGCACATCATAAAAATAATGTCAAAATATTGAATGAAAAAAAAAGATAGACAACAAATGTGTAAATTATAGCTTAACATCAAATTATTTATAATTGGATTCACTGTTAATTTTACATAAATAATGAAAAATCAAAATGGGTGGAATTTCTAACTTATTTAAGAAATGATTTCATTCAGTAAACTTTATGAAGAAGTTATCAAAACTTATCTTGTTAATGATGGAGTTTATGTATCCTACTAACTACTCCAGCAGGTGTAAAGTATATATATATGGTCATACAATATCGTGGACTGATTGAAGTTAGACTTATAAGCCACCGGGTCTCGGTTCACAAAGTCTAAAGAATAAGTTTTTCAGCTTGAGACTGGAGGCCCTGGGTTCATATCCTGGTTGTGGGGTCACCGATGCTCACTTTTGAGGAGTTCCATACTAGAAAGAAATAGTTGCTCAGTTCTTGCAGGTTTTCTTTAGTTATCTAAATTAGATTGGTTTGTGATTTCAATAACAGATAGCAATCTCCACAACCTTCTACTGAGAAATATAATTATAATGAGATATAATAACCAGGTACAAATTGATGTACTCGTTTGGGAGATATTTTATTAACTCATTAGTCAGGTACAAATTTATGTACTTAGTTTCAAATCATATCTTGAATGTAAGAGCTAGTGATACTACTAGATTACTTAAACAGAAGTAGATGGTGACTTAGTTGCTGAAAATTGAAAGCCTTAGTCACAGAGCCGATTTTCCAGAGCTACAACATAGAAGCTCTTCAGTACTTTCTAGTTTGCAATGATTTTCTCGTCGATGACGAAACGTAAATTAGAACTAAACAATATCCCTATCTCCTTTATTTTAATAAAATTTATATAACCATAGACTATCATTAATCTTTTCATAACCAGTATCATGAAGCAAGAGAATTTTAATTTATTGACATAGTGATAATAACTAAGTCTTATAATCAAAACCATAAAGCCAGGAATAAGCCATTTCGAAAATTTAATTCAAGATGAAATCATTGATTACTACAGTTTAGTATAAACTTGTGATAATTACACGTATAAAATGAAATTCAACATTCACAGGAATGAGTAAGTGAGGTTATAGACAAGAGAGTCTAAATTTTTCCTTTGTACACATTTAAATTTCTCAAAGATATTTGGAATTCTCAGAAGGGGTTTTGTGAAGATTTTAGTAATTTCAATAGTTGCAATCATGAGTCAATTAAAGCTAGACCACCCAGGAAAACCTGGAAGCACTGGACTGCCGTTTCGTCCTAGTATGGGACTTCTCAGAAGTGCGCATCCACGATCTCGCCCCCCGCGCGATTCGAACCCAGTTCCTATCAGTCTCGCGCGCGAAACCTTTCCATAATGGTCTAGCTTCAATTGACTCATAATTTTAACTATTGATATTTGGAATTTGTTTATTTTCTTCTAACAAAAATGGACAATAATGATGAATAACTTACCAAATAATAGTTTCTCAAATTTTGAATGATTATTTTCCAATTCATTAATCTATCTTTTACACATGTTACAGTTTTACATAGACGATCATCTGGATCGATCCGTTCATCACTAAAGAAATAGATTTAATAGTGAAAAGAAGAAAAAACTGATTAACAACTTAATAGACTCAAATAAACAATGACAAGACAAACAATCAAACGATACAATATCAAAGTCAAGTAGGATTTATATTTTCCAGTTATTTATTAGTCTCTGTTAACAAAGAAGAAATGTAAACTCCTACAAGTAAAATCTATACTCATTAAACAACTCGATGACAACATATAGTACGTGTACTTCATGATATTTACCATTTGATAGTAAACGTACTACTCATGAGTAGATGAAACATAATTCATAAAAACATGTACATAATTACTATTTGTAATTTTATTTACTCCTCTATCGATGAGTGTAAATACGGGACACCAGCGATAATGCCTAAATAAACCGTTACGTTTTGCAAGTAAATACACTTGGCATTGAATTACTGGCTTGACAAAATTTAATCAATGAAAACCAGTTAGTATGGCTTGTTAGTCAAATAAATTCTCATCTGTTTATTAATCATAATAATATTGGATGATGGTTAGCAGTGCCTTACTATTAGTTCAGGTTCATTAAGAAAAACTAATTGGAAAGGAATAGTTGATCTTTCTGTTCTTTTTATGTTCTCTAGTCCATGTCAACTCGTAATCAAAATGGATTTGAAAGGCTATAATGTATCATCATTTTGGATTTCTTAAATTGTCTTGAAGATCTTTTTGAACAACGTAAAAACTACATATGTCGAGTACGGGAGAATAATTGATTGTTTTATAATGAATCGGTTGATGTTGAAATATGTTCAAAATTTCATTTAATTTATTTACTTGGATCGAACTTGATCACTATACTACTTGATAGTCCTGATTTAGATCTATGAAGGAATTCAGTATATATAAGAATAACACTAAACAAGTGTTATTGCTGTGCTAATGCGGTATGGCAACTTGGACCAATGCATATATGTGCCTGGTCTTATGCTGTAGCTGACTGACTGGCTGGACACTAAACAAATACATATTAGGATTTGGAATAGTTCTTCAAAGAAATGTTATTATATGGTAGTTAGTAAGAAGTTTGGTAAAACTAAAGATATTTTAAGTAAATGATTTGAACTCTTGAAATTTATCTCATAAACAAAATTATAAAGAGAATCTAAGTGTTTTCAAGTTTACAATTAAAAAAATCTCATATACACATCATTTACAATCCAATATTAGTATCCATATAAATATACTGAATTTGTATTTTATCAAACAATTAAACTTGTCAAAACTTGTTTATAATTCAAAATAAAAATTCACATTTATTATTGTTATAACGCTCGATTTTACTTCGTCTAATATTATAACGGTTGGGTTTCCATTTTTACACGTATGGGACGTTAATTTACCTTAAACAAATATCTACACTCGATTCCCTCCCAGTGTCTATTCTACAGGACGTCAACACAACTCAGATCATGAACATGTGATTAACCTGACTACAACGTAAAAAAATTTCCATACCAAAACCCGACACAATCCAACAACAATGAACAATTAACAATAAGTGAGTAATAATAGTAATAGGGTTAGGGGAATATATAACTCAACTGACACCAGTCAGACTATCTACATGTCTGACTAAGCAGACAACCAATCATTATCATTCTCATCCACACATCAATTATTTAGCTTTTTAATAAATCATTTTAAACTTGAATTTTTGGTGAACAGAAATGTACTAAATATACCATTCTGCTTGTCAATAGTATGGTCCACATGATTTATGGTTTAAAGAATGTCCTGTTTAGTTTTGGTCTTTTTTTAGTTGAGTAGTACAGTCCAAAATATTTTACTAAATTTTATTAGACAATATATGGGGTGTGAATTAAGACTGAGGGTTTTCTGTCATTGTTTTCAGTGTTCAATTAGCGTATCATATTCATTATGTTCGGTCATTTTTTCTTCAAACCCTTTAAAGAGAGAATGTATAAACTGCACTAAATATCTTATTTCAAGACCTAACTTTGACTATATTTGTATTTTTCCATCCGGCATATCAGGTCACGCTATATTGGACATCTCTCTAACGGATAGTTTCCGATAACTCCAGATGAAGTAGATATAAGTTAGATGAGGTGCAACTTAATAATATACAAAGTAATCAGGAACTCAAAGCAGGTAACAACAGTCAATAAGTGTAAAAATGTATGAAATAGTAGTATGTTGAAGACATAGACAGACAAATAAATAAATGCAAATCAATCATCCAAAGCAAATTCCAGTCACTTCATTCGGTCAAACAAAAACTTTTCCATGCACTCCATATAAAAAAATTGGGATCTTTCTATACATATCCGACTAATAATTTAATAAATTAATGAGATGATTTAAGTGTCCTAGAAATTTCATGAAAGGCTGTAAGCGGTGGATGAACTTGTGTGATACACGTTTAATTCATCTTTATTGATGCAGCCTCAAAACCTTATCATATAGTCTACATAATTCTGATGATGAAAAATAGTCCGTTCATTGATCGATCTCAATAGGATTTTTTTATGGATGTTTTTCTTTTTCAGAAATCATACAACAGTTCAGTCTACAGATTTATACATGGATGATTAAATGAAATTCTATTTCAGGAATGATGTTTCATGAGGAGTGAAAAAAACGACTTCTGTAAGATTAATATAATAAAAATCACTAAAATAAAATGCAAAGTTCAAGAATAACAATTCGTGATTACTTATTTCAGTTTAGATAATGAATAAGCAACAGTCAAACACTTAACAAAATCAAGTTTCTATCCTGACCAACTTCATTATGCTAAGTGTTATATACACAAGATACAATTTTGAAAGAGAAGATATACACAGTAATTGTATAAGTCAATATTCTATACGCTATGATTCATATTAGTGTGATAATCAATAATTAGTATTATTTGTGACAAACTCCAAAACTACAATCCACTAGATAAAAGACAAATTCATGTATCATTAAATTGAAACTCAATGTGTATACATTCACTTGGTGTTGTTTTACTTGTATCTTCCCATTGTTATTCAGGACTGCAATTGGGATACAGGTACATGGGACGAAACGCGCATTCTTGATTCCATTGCTAGCCACTATCCATCTTTCTTTAATGTTTATACATTTACATAAGAACTTGACATAAAACTAATTTTTTCATACATTAAGACCAAGGTAGAAGAAGAGGTTGTACCAGTCTCTTTTGCACACATAATTTAAAGTCATCTTTGTGCTAATAATTCAAAAAATCCCATAACAAATCTAATCTTGTTCTTTTTATAACTTTGATCAATCGTCTTAGGGTCAATAAAGAAAATTATAAACAATAAAATTAATAAATAAGAACTTTATTTGAACTTACATAATTCCAAATATTGTATTCAATAATAATCCATCGCTTAATTGTTCTGGTAATATATCATTCGATGACTGATTAAATAATTGTGCCCATAAAAGTAAATCCGATTTCATGATTAAAACAGAAAATCAATAAAGTGTAGAGTGAAAAATGTTTTTGTTATTGTTGTTTAAAATTCCGTTAGATAAATTTCTGTAATATCCTATAATTTAGAAGAAACACGAAATGTGAATAAACAAAATTCTTTTGAAAACATTGGAATATAAAACGATATTTAAAGGATTATTCGAAGTACTAAGGTATAAACAAATAGAATTGTTAAATTTTTTTATTGAGGTCATGAACCGATTGACGTTAGACCACCATTGAAAACCTGGAAGCACTGGAAGGCCGTTTCGACCAGTGGGGTTAATCCCTGTCGGGTAGAGACAGGTATCTTTCTCAGTAAAGTGGAAGATGGTCACGCAACTTCGTGGATTGGTTGAGGTTAGACAACACCATTGGATGCCGGCTCAGTGGTCCAGTAAGTTAAGTGTTCGTGCGCCCTGGGTTCGAATCCTTTCAGTGGGATCGTGGATACGCACTGCTGAGGAGTCCCACAATAGGACAAAAACGGCCGTTCAGTGCTTCCAGGTTTCCAACGGTGGTCTAACACCAACCAGTTAATGATCTCAATCAAAAACGTAATAATCTCTACAACCCCTATACTGAAAACTGTCAAACTTTCTATTCAACTAATAAAATTTCTGCAACTTTTCTGGTAAATGAAATTTTGTAGAATTAACTTTCAAAGCATGAACAAATGACTATCTATTACTATATGATTTATAATAATTTTTTTCCACATATGGTAAAAGTTAAAAGTGAAAACTAGTTTCATTTTAAGCAGAGGTGGATAGTAGTTAACAGTATAATCCAGATTGTGCGTTTCATCACAACTGAGGCTGGACAACTGAATATATTCGCACCTCAGTGTTGCTGTTCACACTGAAACTCGAATCCACTACTTTTGCTTTAAACGCTTAACGCGTTATCCATTAAGCTAGTAAGTTCAAATAGCCACTATCTAATCAATTAAAGTTCATAAAATTAGCGGGAAGATATGAATAACCAATACAAATAAATTAAAACTAATCTATTTTAATAATCATCAGAAAATTTGTGTCTTGATAATAACCATTGAACTCTGAAAGTCTAAATGGTAAGGCTTGACAGGTGAGGTTGAACCACGTAGTCAATAATATATATAATGTTACCGGATAATGACCGTGGTTTATCATAATAAATCAATTGAAGGTGGGGATTTGGACAATTAGATTCCAAATCAATCGTAACTACAGTACCATTCCTGATGACCTACAGCTTCTAGGTCTGACCCAGTTTAGGATCATCATCTGTATATACATTTATGAGTCGTAGACTGGAATACAACGACCGTTCAATGTTTACTAATTTTTAGTGTGGAGCTCTGGCTCAGTGGTTAAGGCATATACGTGAATATTTATTTACGTCGTAGATTATACAAATTTATATTAATCATTTCAAGTAAGAAAAAAGACCTGTAGAAATGATTTGTTGATGATATGGTAGATTGTAAGTCAGATTTTCCAATAATTTATCAGACAAATAATGGATTAAAAAAATAAAATAGAATAATTTTCTTACGATTTGAGGATCACATCACCGAACTAAATACTGATTCAATAATCTTAGGGAATTAATCACTTGGTTGGTATTTATCCCATTATTTTATCAGTTAGATATGGAGTCAAAACAGTGCCATTTGGTAAAATTGGAGTTTTAAAGATTCTCTCGACAAGAAATTGAAGAAAAAATTTTTCAAAAAGCAACTAGCAGTATTTTTTTAAGACAAGCGTTATACATAATGATTACCATTACTATTTACTTAATAGTGGTGGCTTTGTTCAAGGTCATGTTTAATATTTGACCTTACGAACCGAAATAAATCGAACAAAACAATTAAAACAAAATACAAAGGTGAAAAACAAAAGTTAGAACTATTAATATAAGGTGTGAAATTTAAGTTTATGAAAAATAACCTGAAGAAAAAACAAAGCTTGTACACTGCTAGATATTAGTGAAGTGAATAATCACTTATAAGTAAAGTAAAAGAATATTTTTTTTAAAAATTTCTTAGCACCAATAATGTATTTGAAAATAAAAGAAATCTTAGGTTGGGTTCCAAATAGAGAATTCCCAACAGCTCCTACTTTTGACTCTACACGACGTTTAGTCTAGGATATGAAAATATAGCAGAAAGCACTTTACCATTAGCTTAGAAATCATTAGTTAATGATAACGGACTAGCGAAAAACAGATGATTAGTTATTCTTGATTTTTGGTGAACGATTCGTTATTTAGTATTAGTTCTTGACAGAAACCGTTCAAATATTTGATCTAAAATTGGAGGAATTATTACTGAATTTATGATTTAAATGATGAGTGCCAAATTTTCAAATCACTGAATTAAAACTGTCCATTAAGCTTAACAAACTTTGCTTTCATGAGTCAAATATCCTATCAAGTTTGAAATAGTTTCAGTATAAACTAACTGCTCAGTCAGTAATACTTAAACGCTTTTACCCCAATATTAATTAAATCTTAGGTTCATGTTAGCTATGCTCATCTTTTTGTTAATCACTTTTATTTGTTCAAGTTCATTCACGGTCTAGTTTCTCACAAATGTTCACTAGAAATTTATGAAGTGACCAATTTTTTGACTCATTCACTTGGACATACACAAAAAAATAGGAGCAGACATGTTAACATAGAGTCATTTCGGGAGGTGATTGATTTTTCTTTTTTTGAAATGGATCAAATAAACAGAATGATTATCAGTTTGGTGGTTGTTGAGATTGTCAAGTTTTTGATTGAGATCATGAATCGATTAATGTTAGACCACCATTGAAAACCTGGAAGCACTGGACGGCCGTTTTGTCCTATTATGAGAAGTCGTGACTAGTGGAGCTAATTCGTGTTGGGTAGAAACAGGTATCTACCTCAGTACAATGGAAGATGGTCACGCAACCTCGTGGATTGGTTGAGGTTAGACAACACCGTTGGATGCCGGCTCAGTGGTCCAGTAAGTTAATCGTTCGCGCGCGATACTGAAGGCCCTGGGTTCGAGCCCAGCGAGAGGGATCGTGGATGTGCACTGCTGAGTCCCACAATAGGACGAAACGGCTGTCCAGTGCTTCCAGGTTTTCAATGTTGGTCTAACATCAATCGGCTCATGATTTCAATTAGACAGAGAGTGATTGTTGTTTTATTTAATCAACACCACTCTGTACTACTGACAATAATAGTATGATTTATGACATTTACTTAAATCGTGCAGTCTTTAATGTTTTGTAGTTTGATTGAAGTATTCCTAACAAATTTGATTTTCATACAAAAACATTAAATACTGAATAGATATTCATAAACATATGATTATTTCATTAAATTCCATACATAATTATTTCATTATGCAAATTTTCATGGTAATTTGCATTTTTATAACACTAAATAATGAAAAATGGTGGGAACAAAAACAATAAATATGCACTTGTGATTATCTAAATTTTCCTTAACATTTTGGGACATTATAGCTGATAACTTCGTTATCAACTCAGCGAATTAGATCATTTAATCACACGCACGTCTTAATTAACTAAATAAGTTACAAAATAAAAATCATATACGAGATGACTTTGTGATAAAGTATATTGGAAAGGCAAAAATCTTGCATTTCTATTACCATTGAAGAGTGATCTGATAATTTATTCATAAATTGATACAATGATGATAAACTCATTACATTATTGAAATTTATCAAAGGGACTAACTGTTTTAAAAGTGATAAACTCAGTGAAATTGACAATTAATGATAGTTTTATGTATATTTTGGGCATTGTTATTATATATGTAGTGTAGCGATATATCTTTCACAACAGTTAGAAGAGTATCAAACTTGTAGCTGGATGTGCGGATAACCAAGTTGATCTATTATATTGAATTCCATTCTAGGCTGGTAATCGCCACGGAATAAAACCACATGATAATTTGAGATTATTTGAGAAAGCAAAATGAACCAATTTCTTTAAAAAGGTAAAATGATCATAATAAAAAGAATTAAAATTTCGAACAAACTGATTGTTTCCCATTTTGAAGGATACCTGATCTCATGAATTTTGGGACAAATAATAGGAAAAAAGTGTAGCTAAGTAACTATATATGTCTTCAAAATCCATATTGTGATGACATTTATTATATAGAATACTGACTTTAAGTGTGCAAGGAATGTTCAAACAACCGACCAAGTTTTAAAATGTTAGACCTCTAAAATACTGAATTCCCGTTTTACATACAGCACTAAGACTACTTGCTAGCTCTAAGAAAACCTAATTCTTTAAATATAGTACCATTTATCTTCTTGAGAAAAAAAAACTGATTTGGTGTTTCCTGATTCTTGAGCTATGTTTCTATAGTGTAGTTTAAATTTTTGTTTTGAAACTCGCTTAAAGAAAATTCGTAGTCAAACGTTGCCTTATTATTTTTATTAAGCATTATTAAACTAACACCATACTTCGGTTCAAGGTGGTGAAGATGTATCAGAAGAACGGAAATAGAAATAGATTATTTGCGTTTATGAAGTGGTTACCAACATTTTGTAATACAAAAATCTACTTAAAAAAATATAAACATTATAAAGCAGTTTAAAGCATTTGTAAATTACATCGATCATTTGAAAGATAAACTCAGATTTCTGGTTAAATGTAACACATGTTCTTACTGTCCCTAATTTGCAAAAAATTTATGCATTGAGTTTTGCTTTTTATTTACAAGAGGTCATTTAAACAGAGGTTTGTAGAATGTATGAAACTTTTGAATCATCTTATCAAATAGCACAAAATACGCTAAATAACAACTGAGTTCGGGTTTCCTTTGTATACTTTTCGTAACTGCTAACCTAGTTTCTGCTGTCATCTCTTTGTAAACCTTTTAAAAGGAAAACAACGAAATGCAATCTAAGGAATTTAAAAATTTAATCTACAATGATATTTCAAGAATGCTGAAGTCTTCAAATTTTGATGGGATTTGGAATAAAATAAAAGACATCTTTCTCAAAGTGATTCTGTAGTCTTCTTAAAGATGCAAATATATGAACTATTTAACGCAAAATAAACAATGGTACTATGTTTAGTCCACAGTACTGACTAAATCTGCCCATCAACTTTAAAATATAATAAATAGACTGGGTTATTGAACACCAACATGTACCAAGTTGTGTTAATTGAAAGTAGGTTATAAGTAAACTGTTTTTTGAGCATTTTAACACTTATCAAGGGGTAACGATTTCGCCAAAGAAACTTTTCTTATTTCTAATGCGTCTTACCCGCAGTAAACAAAGGTCTTAGTTAGCGTGCAACATGAATGATTCTTTGAAGGAAAGTCTCACTTTTATAATATTGACATTACGTTTTAAGTCCCGATTATCTTTTGGAGAATAAGCCTACTTAAAGAAACTCCTAAATGGTTAGTTTTGCTGATCAATTTACTTCGAAAAAAGCGTAAAGAAAATTTATGTTAAGTTTGGAGACAGGAAGTAAATTACAATAAATTGTGTACCAGAATACGAAATCCAAGGTAGAAACGTTATAGCGATCCAAAAACCAGTTTAAAGGAGAAAAAAGTATGCAATTCTGCCTTATAAGAATGATACAAATCTGATGGCATTTTAATTTGGAAACTAATATACCCACAAAGAATATTCACTTAGTGCTTTATTACATGTGTAGAAATTATAGGTCTTCTGACCAGTGTCCCAAGTGAAAATCAATAAGAATACAAATTTAGTGATTTGAACGACACAAGTTTTTATCTCTGACGAATTTAGAAACAAAAAATCAGATGCTGTTGCGAACAGGAATCAATGAATTTTCGAAAATACAAACGCAAAGTACTATAAAAAGTAAGAAAGGTAGATTTGTAAGTGCGCTCGATTGAGCTAAAATGGGTAGATAAGCAAAAAATGAAACAAAATACTGTAAAGATGCGGACCGGAATATATGAATTGAATTGAGCGTTTCCACGTAAAAATGACTTCAATCAATTCATGCATACGAAAGTGATAGATAATATTTGTAAACACAGAATTCCCTGAAATGAGACTTTGAAGCTGCCTTAAAGAGACATTGAATTGAAGGCCTGAGATAAAAATAGTGGTTAATGGATCTTTCAACCCGAAATCAGTGACATGTTTCTAACTCTCGAACTGGAAATTATAAAGACTCGCACCGAAATGTATCGACGGTAACGAGATAGCTGAGCAATTACAAATTGAGCCAAAATATGACAGGCTCGTCAACTGCCGTATTTCCCTAACTCAAAATTGAGTGAAAATTTATTTAAAGCAAACTGCAAAATTGAGCTTGGCGTTTGTCAGTTTTCTTGGTGAGACCATAATTTATGGATGATCTTTAAGAGACGCTAAAAAGACCTTGATAATGTCCACTACGGTCAAATCAGGGTTATAAACCGGTGTGAGGAATTAAGGTTAACGTTTACAGTTGATAGTTAGGGTTAGGAACTATATTTAAGATTTTCGTCATAAACTGATATAAGCTATTATGCCAAAACTCTATTTAGACAAATGGATGAATTATTTTGCGCCAAAATTCAAGACCTGTTATCATAAATTCGTCTATAAATTAATCCCGCCGTTTTATTTTCAGGAAAACACATATTACGGAGTCCCAGTATCTAATACTATACCGCTAACAAATTTAATTCACACACAAGTTTTGACAATCAATACAAACATTTTCAAAGCACTTATTCGCAAATACGCTTCTCAAACCACACTAGAAAACTGGCACTAAAAAAGCATCGAACAAACCTGACCATTTCTCTATCTGCTCGTATAAATTTGTGAAGTTATTGGATTTTTACCGTGTGAAGTATGTTTCCTGCACAGATAGGCATAGAAGTATGCATATATACAATGAAAATTGTAGTAGGACTATACAATGCTAGCATACATTTGTAGTAAAACAAGCTTCATTTGACATAACATTTAACAAGGTATGAAAATAAGATGCTTTTTATAGCAAGCAATGAAAATATCAAAATGCAGTAATCCACAACCCACCGAAAGGCAACAAACAAATAAACGCGAAGGTTACGATAGAGTCGCTTTTTATAGGCTAAAACAAATCACGTTTTGTGATAAACAGGTTACTGTGTAATCACATTTTACCCGCTTTTACAAGTGTTTGGTTACTTAATGCACCCTATGTTAGTCCGCTCTTAACCAGTTTTTCAAACTTACTGTTGCTTCTATCTTTAGCTGTTCTGTTGCCAAAACTAAACTACTTTCTGACTGAAAGAGAGTGGTCAGAATTCTATAGAAAGTGATAAGAAAGTTGAAAGATCCCGAATACATACCAATTTTTATCCTCTGAGGTTTTCGTCATGTTGCTTACTTACGCTGTTTACTGTCAACGGAGCATATGCCGCCAACCAGCGTTCTCCAACCGACCCTGTCCTGCGTCTTCCTTTCTAGTTCTATCAAATTCTTGTTTATTCTTGCCATGTCGTTTATTTTTCTCATTTCTGTCTCCTTTTCTTAGTGTAATATGTTCTTTGGTCTTCCTTTTCTTCTTTGGCCTTGAGGATTCCATATGAGGGCTTGTCTTGTGACGCAGTTCGGTGCTTTCCTCATTGTGTGTTCTATCCACTTCCAGAGCATCTTCCTGATTCCTTCCTCCACTGGCATCTGATTTGTTCTCTCCCACAGTAGATTGTTGCTAATCGTGTCCGGCCAACGGATCCGAAGTATTTTGCGTAGACAACTGTTAATAAACACTTTTATCTTGTGGATGATGGATTTCGTAGTTTTCCAGGTTTCCGCCCCATACACTAGAACTGTCTTGACATTTGTATTGAAAATTCTGACTTTGGCGTTGATTGCCAATTGTTTTGAGTTTCAGATGTTCTTCAGTTGAAAATATGCTGCTCTTGCTTTGCTGATCGGATCCACCGTGTATATCAATGATGCTGCCCACATATGTAAAGGTTTTTACATCTTCCAAAGCTTCTCCGTCAATTGTGATTGGATTGATGAATGTTGTGTTGCATCGGAGAATCTTGTTTTTCTTTTTGTGTATGTTGAAACCTACTGCTTTTTAGGCTGCTGCTACACTGGCCGTCTTCTCCTGCATTTGTTGTTTCGTTTGTGATAAAAGAGCCAGATCATCTGCGAAGTCTAGATCATCCAGCTGCATCCTAGATGTCCACTGTATCCCATCCTTCTCTTCAGATGTTGACGTTTTCATGATCCAGTCGATCACCAGGAGAAAGAGGGAAGTTGAGAGTAAACAACCTTGCCTGACACCGGTCTTTACTTCGAACGAGTCTGTCAAATGTCCTCTATGAACGATTTTGCAGTTTAATCCATCATAAAAATTCCTTATGATATTGACTAAATTCTGAGACACACGGTAGTGTCGAAGAAGCTTCCATAGGGTTGTTTTGAACACGCTGTCAAATGCTTTTTCGTAGTCAATGAAGTTGATGAAGAGTGATGAATTTCATTCAATTGATCGTTCCACAATCATCCGTGGAGTTGTGATTTGTTCTGTACACGATCGGTCTTTCCGGAATCCTGTTTGTTGGTCTCAAATTTGGGCGTCTACGGAGTCCTTCATTCTGTTTAACAGTGCCCTGTTGAAGACTTTTTCTGGTATTGAGAGAAGAGTGATGCTCCTGTAGTTATCATAGTTGCTGAGATCGCCTTTCTTCAGTATTTTGACCAGAAGTCCTTCTTTCAAGTCTTTTGGTACCTGTTCTTCATCCCAAATCTTTCTGAAGAGAATGTGGAGTATCCTTGCAGTTACTGCTACACATACTTTCAGTGCCTCTTCTGGAATGCTGTCTGCTCGTGCTGCTTTGTCGCTCTTGGTTTGTCTGATGGTGTTGGGATATTCAGAAAAATATCCCAAAAATTATCCTGTTGAGTCTAATGCTATCCTTGAACGTGAAACGGTGTCATTTTCCTGTTGGTCAATACTTATTTGACGTGTCATTTTCCTATTGGTCAAATATTGCACAAATATTATTTTCTATTTTATGGTACGATGTAGTCTGTTTGGTTGGTATATAAACAGAGTATGTTTGAAATATAATGATTCATATCGCAGAGGCTGAGACTTGTGTTCTGGACTCGAGTGGCTGGGCTAGACAGGTAAGAAAGACCAATCAAAACTCTAGGCTGTTCTTATGTGTTTGTGCGTCTTCGGTCCGATCGATAATTCACTGCCCTCCAATCTGTGCGTCTCAACACACAACAGATGGCCATGTTGATTTCTTCAATTGTTGGTGGGTCAACACTGGTTGGGAGGTCCATGAGTACTGTTTCGACGTTAGGTGGTTTCAGTGGGGCTCGTCGATTCAAGAGTTCTTTGAAGTGTTCTACCCACATGTTCCGTTATTCTTCAATACTGGTGGTTACTTCGCCCTCCTTGCTTTTCACTGGTCGTTCTAGTTTACGATAATTTCTAGCGCGTTTCTTTGTTGTGTCACACAATTGTCTTATGTTTCCTTTTCTTGCAGCATTTTCCGCCGTCATTGCCAAACCTTCCACATATTTACGTTTGTATCGCCTCATTTCTGCAGCGATTTCGAGGACTCTCCCGATCTCCCACATTGTTCGAGCGTCCCATGTATATAAATAAATGGTTGTTCTGGTCGTCATACGGGGGATCGGCCTCGTGACTTCCGAAGGATCTCGGCATTCACCATGAGGCGTCATAACCCTTCTAAATGGAGACCTTCTAACTCCCAGGGCAGAGTTTAAATGGTTTGAGTTATTTTTTCTGGTTAGCGTTTTTTAGCGAGTTAGTTTTCTACGGGATGGGGACGCTAATCCCATGCCCAACCCTCCTCCTTTACGGGGGCTTGGGACCGGCAGGAGGAGTTATTATTTCGATTCACTACTTTGTTAATTGCATGTTTTATAACCATCAACGTTAAACATTCGAAAATGACTGATATTTCGAGTACTTTTGTTTCCAAAGTTCACTGCGATGTATGTACATACCACAAAGTCAGATGACTTTTCATTCTGCAATTGGCAGTTGGTGGAAAGCAGCTACTTTAATGGAATATCAAATGAAATTGGAGATTTTCAAGTGATCGTCTTGGATACGAAAGATAGATGTTGGTGGAAAGCAGCTAAACAATGTAAGAAAAGTCTGTAAAATGTGTAAGTTGTAAGATGGTTTGTACAGACATTTTGTAGGCACGTGATGCATATGATCACATACTAAAAGTAACGAGGGCATTTTCGACGCAATTGTGGCACACCTTAACGTTTGCCGTTAGTTAGCAATATCTATTAGAGTTTAGGCTTTCAAAATCCAGCAAGGTACATTTTACTCAGTTCAGTGAAGCGAATTCTGCTACGCTCTTCAGATTATTATGAAAAATGGTAGGTTAATTTGGCAGAAGAAGTTACCATGAACTTATTTAGCGTCACCATATATGTACCTCCATAAATCACTTACAACTTTGGGGCTATGTGGTTCAACAAAGCTTGCTTTAATGTTTGATAACAACAGCAGGAAACATGAATTCGTGACGGTTAGTAAATCCCCAGAACAAGTAGTTCTGTCAGTCCTTGATATTGATTCTGAAGGCGCTCGGGCACGCATTCGCGTCAGATCACGAGTGGGGTACCCCATGCTACTCATCCCTTGCAACTACTAGTCAGCTCAGATCAAGCGTTCCTCGACATATCTATAGCCTTCCAAATATATCTTTGAACCTCTTTGATCATAAAAGTGTTACGAATAAAATGTTGTCAAACTGTGAATATTCATGTTATCTTTAAGTGCTATGATATTATAGGATTGGTGTGCAAGCTCCGAACTTTTGCTGAGGATCTTCTTTGCAGATATAGTTTACTTTCAATCTTACACTTAACTGTAATGTATGATCAATTAATGTTGTGTTAGAGAATCACATCACTACACGGAAAATTAAAATGCTGTCACTTAACGTGATAAACTATAAAGATCTAGGGGCCCCAATGAGCAGATGCTGCTCAACTAAGGCTGATTAAAAGGCTGATACTACCAGTGACTTCAGAGTCTTATGTGGATTTCATAAGTCACTTCACTACGTGGATGAAGAAATGTTTAGGGTATCATATCCAAATTCTGTAGGCCGCATTTGGAATTCAGGATTCAAGCAACAAGCCCCTACTTCAAGTATGAAAAGGACATGCGAGGATGAGTTCAATAATGTGGAACCAAAATGGTGAGTGGTCTTTCTGGTCTATCTTATGAGAATAGACTGAGATGCTTAAATCTACTCTCGTTATCTCACCACAAGTAACGGGGTGATTTATTGTTAGCTTCGCGTAGCTTGAACAGTGATTTCGGTATTAACATGTCCTATATTTCCATTCCATACAGGACAGACAATGTGAAAGGACACTGCAAAATAGTTCAAAGGTCGAGAGGAAATCTTTAATGTCTTGGTTACCGTTTCTCTCATCGTGTAGAGAATTACTGGAATTCTCTGCTACAACGCGTGATATCAGCACCTTTGGTTGAATCGTTACAGTACTACAAGTTGCAGGAACCTCCTATAATTACTCCTGAAAGCTGAAAATAATTTGTCTATTTGTCTATTACAACTTGTGCCACAACGAAATAAGTTTGAAATTAGATTGAAAAGACTACTTAGACAACAGGAAGGTCACTTTGGGAGTCCTAACGTAACTAATTCACCTGTATTTTCAACCACAGATGTTGAGCATCTATTTGAAGGTCACTTGAAGGGTCGAAACAAAAAAGCGGTAGTTGTAAACATTTCGAAGAATGAGTATATCTCTCCTTTTCGACGAGGAGGCGTATGAGAAGATTTCTGAAGTTAAAAAACCAATATTTGTATTTGACTGGCTGTGTTCACTAGAAAAAAGATTAGTGGCAGAAAATAGACAGGCTATCAAGGAATGCCAAGAAGATCTTGTGCAACAACTGTTGTCTCACCTGACGCATGCTCCTGGACGTCCAACACACAAACTTTTGGGCCGTTGCTTCGCTAACCTCTTTTTAGTGGGAGATTCACTTTTACTTTATACAGCAGTAAACACATGTAACGCGCTTCT